GGGTGGGGGTCATCCCGGTGTTATATTCCGTCAGGGGGGGGGATGGGATGATTCCGTAAGTTGTGTGGTTGGACGCGTTGTCCGCTGGGTCGGTCAGTCGGTTTGCTGTCTGGTACATGGCAAGACGAAACGAAAGGGCCGGCAGGAAGCAACCTCACAGTCCTTCCCTCCGATGTGCAGTGATCGTGAGGGTGAGGGTTGACCAAGGTGCAGGGTAATGAAAACGATGGAAAACCACTTTTCAGCTATGCATACATCCAGCAGCAACATTGTTTTACGCCGAAGCCCTAAGCACGACTGCAACGGTGGGGGGTCCCGCAAAAGAGGAAATCGTGGGTGCACCCTACATATCATGTACAGTGTCATCCGGAGATTCACTCGGGGTTGGTCTTAGCGATCTTCCTAAAACCTGGCGCGCGTTTCTCCTACCCCAAGAGTGCGGATACGTTGGCGTCCCACCGTGCAGTACTCTACGGGGGTTGCACCCCGCCCTGGTTTCGGTAAACAGGGTGGGCGACATCTGTGGGCCTAGGCGGCGGGTTTCACGCGGGGTGGGTGGCCGGAACAGGCCGAGTGAAACCTCTTCTTGGCACAGGTAGAAATTGCCACGCTGTCCGTAAACTCTGAACCTAGGGATAGGGCGGATGCCCGCGGTACGAAACGGCCTGGTGCTTATCCGCCCACTAGACGGTGAACGTGCATGCGCGGGAGGCCCTGCTCTACAAGTATTCCACAGAGTTTTGGCGGAGGATAGGTCTGGCAGCACTCCCTCGTACGTATTTTCCGGCTAGGCGAGCTTACGCGCTCAGCAGTAGTTAAATAGTCGAGGGCGGAGACAAAAACGCTGCAAGACGAAAGGCCTCTCTCTCACTTTGTAGCATCATCCTCGTGGGTGAGTCGATCCTCCATGAAGACCGGCCTCGTGGGTATGGTCAGCCCCATGACCGTGTGCATCGCCGTCGGCGCCACATTGGAACTCCTGCTTGACTGCTGCGGCAAAGGCGGCTGCTACGCGGGGCGGCAGACGCAACAAGAACAAGAAAAGCGTCCATGTTGGTAGGCAAAGCACAGAAAATAATGCTAGCACCAGGTTAAGACGCGGCGGCTTGTTAGCAGTTAGATGCTGTAGAACGCCCCGCTGCTTACGAACTTGGTAATGAAGAAAATGAGCGTACGATTGCCGCGAACCGTAATAACTGGAACCGTACTTTGTGCCGAAGTATTGCTGACTGGTGTACATGTAATTCTTAATTCCGCCAGGTCGAGGAAGAGGGAACGTCGTGGGTACAGGAGCAGGGACATCAGAGGGGCACGTCGCTTTTCGCATTGCTCGAACCTGGTGGGTCTTCGTCTCCACCACTGAGCTCAACTTTGCAACTTTTGGTACGGTTTGGGTGTCAAAGCCTTGAAGCCATTCCAATTACAACGTTGCAACATTCGATACGGTTTGGTCTTAAAAAACCTTGAATCCATTCCAACAACGATGTTGCAGCATTCGGTACGGTTTAGGTCCCAACATCCTTACCATTGGTTCCCTTTAGTATAATAGTCTAATGAAAGGAGGCAAAGGTTACAAGAAGAGTTGCTTCCAGTGCTGAGTGTGCTGCACCTCCAACATCCAAGACTTCGACATGAAAACAAAACTTGAACAAAAAATTCGACACTGGCGTTACTTTGTCCCATTGCGTAATGAAAGGCGGCAGAGGTTTCATTTTTTTCGGCGGCACTGCTGTTCCCACAATGCTCAATGTACTGCACGCCTGCGTCATGACGAGATAAAGCGGCGGTGCGGCGGTACTAGTCTATTGTGCTTCAAAGCAGCAGTCACCAAAGGAACAGACCTCCTCTGTCTTTTGGGACAACAGAATGGCAAAATGGGGACATGCGATGTGCACCATTCACCCCCGAAGGCAGCGAGAGCCCCGCTGCTGTTCGGCGGGGCACGAGCCCGAAACTACTGCTGTACGAACGTATGCATACGAACATATAAAAGTACAGAATACGCAGCAGCATGTGTAATAGTCTGCGCTGTGAAAAACATACTCTTCGCAATGAACCAAGAACAATGTCCTACGCTTGATTTTGCACCTGTTGAATCGTCCCAACTGATGCACGTCTGGGGGTGGAAAACGATCGATCGAGCGACCTATTACGCCCCGTCTTTTGCTGCCCACTTGGACCATCCTTGGCCGGCACGTTTCGCCCTGATTCCATGCCGGCGCCCTCTCTCTTTGCTGTCGGTCTGTCGAGAATCAGCAATCCTCGCGGGTCGCCGCGGTTGGAATTTTGCGTATACCTTCAAAATACGATGAGCGACGACCCTTATCCCGCCGCTTTTTGCGCACCCGCAGAGCTGCTGCAAGCTCTGCTCTGTGGCTGTGTAGCAAGTTCAGCGCGAGAGACAGGGAGAGAAGAAGGACTAGGAAGGCGGTGGAAGTAACTATGCTGTCCGCACTACGATGCTTCTCAACAGGGAGCAGTATTAGAGCGCGTGGGATGAATATTGACGGCAATGCTATTGTCAGCGGCATCAGGTTGTTTTCAGGAACAACGACTACACGTGGAGGTCGCGGCAGAGCCGGCGGCACAAGGCCGGCCTTCGAGCTGCTGGACGAGGACATCGAAGAGAGATTTGTCAAGGCGAGTTCGCCGCAGCGTAACAATCTGCCTAGATAGTCATAGCGTCCAGCCTCCCTGTACGCCCCGCGTACAGTACGGACATACTCCGGAGTCGAAGACACGACAGCTGTATGCGTGAGATCACCTGTCCCTCGGACCCATTGCCAAAGCTCTACCTCCACGACGAACAGGATGTACCAATCGAGATGTTCTCGGAAAAAGTTGACGAGGTGTGTCCAACACCGTCGCGTAGCCGAGCTCCGACACCAATCCATGGGGTGTGACACCTCGTGTGACCTACGTTTCGCATTTACGTGCAGGATGAAATTTATCCGACTGTGAATTCGTGCTTCATCCGACGTAATGAAATGATGCGTTTGTGGGCACCACATGTCAGTATATAAGGCTTGGGGCACCTTATCTCGTGTCGGGCAAACACCCTTTTTACACGTTCGTAGGTATGCAATACATGCCCTAATCGTCCAACCAAGAACCCCCTGCTACCTTACGTACGTCACGTCAGCGCTCCGTTGTGACCGCACGTCTACAGCGTACATGAGCGCCACCCTAGCCGTATCAAAGGCTAGCTTTGGGAGTACAATACGAGTCAAGAACCCTGAATCCTACCTTTGCCAACGCTGCAGCCAAACCCCCCATCGTGTTCCCCCGGTGGGAGGGGGTTCAGGTGATTTCCCTTCACCTACCGTAGGTCGCATAAGAAACCACAAGCCCAAGAGCGGTTTTTGTTGCTCGATGACTCTTGCATAAACAAAAACAGCAGTGACGGCCGGCAACGGAGACGTTGGAATCGTATCGTCGGGAGCTTTTCCAAAGATGTGTCGTTTGACGTAGGCGTCCTCGTCGTTGCGTGTTGACCAGGGAAGTGGGCCAGGCGGCCAAAAGATCAACAAGGTGCGGAACTGCGTCCAGCTGACCCACCTCCCTTCCGGCGTGTCGGTCTCATGCCAAGACTCTCGCGAGCTTCACGCCAACCGCCACATCGCTCGGAAACGCCTCAAGGAAAAGGTGGAGGGCCCATCTTGGATTTTTGAAGAACGCACTACCACTTCAGAACCGCCATTATGGTTCTTGCCGAGGCTGGGATTCTTAATTCCTACATTAGGGTTATGCTCAAGAATGGTGGTCATAAAAGTTTTAGCGTAGTGATTCTCAACCGAGCTCACAAATGGTGCTCAAGTTCTTAAATTTTGGGGGGTTGAGGCTCAATTTCTCAACTCTTGAGTTCTCAAGTGGTGGCGCTTTCTGTATGCAGATTTGCGGCCAGGGAACAAGAGTCGTCCATTTGGGGTCGAGGCTCAATTTATTACGTCGTCACGACCGTCCCGCATACGTCATTATATGTAGTTTAGTGTGGGATCCACGGCTGAGGTGTGCTTCTTGGTCACCTTTTCTTTGTTTCTCGTGAACCTTTGAGAGTTGTTTTCCTATCTAGACTTTTCTTAAGTGGCGGACCGCAACTTCCGTGCATTTGTGTATCTTTTTTACGACCGGGGCCCATACACCGGTGCGGGTACGCATCGGTCGAGTTCCGCCATTGCATGATGTTGAGTCAGTGACCCTCCCCTGCTTGCGCGCGCACGCACGCACGCACGTCTTCCTTAGGTGGAGTTCCAGCTGATGGGCGCGGACAGCAAGGTCGGCCGCAGAATAAACAACATCCGGAATAAGAAGGCTCGCTCGCAGCGAAAGTCGCGCCTCAAGCACCAAGCAGCAGCAGCGGCAGCGACATCAGCGAAACAGCCAGAACCGGTGCTCAGCAATGACGAAGTGGAGAAGATGATGATGGCCGGTGGCGGCGGTACGGGGCACGCGGTGGACTCGGCGAGCGAAGTCGACGAGGAGGAGAGTGACTGGGAAGACAGCGGAAGCAACGAAGCCGGGAGATGAAGGAAAAAAAATGTGGGGTGACGAAGTTTGTTTCGTTAGTACGCCCCCCCAAGCCATATGTGCGGCGAGATGGCTGCCGATTCGAAGCGCTCTTCGTTTCTGGCGTCTGGATGGAGGTTGCATTCGAGGCTGGGCTGGAACGGCACCAGACGCTTCTCGGCATGGAGTAGAGGGAGGACGGCGCGGTTACCACTGCCGTATCCTTCTACGGGCGGACCGAGGGCGTGTTTGCCTCTGCTGTTGCTCGGAGGTCGGCTTGGCGGTAGGTAGCCCTTGAACCATCATTTCCGTTGTTACGTGTATGACATTAAAACTGACATGCCAGTTATGCGTGTGCGTGCAAACGGCGAAACCATGGACAGTTGCCCCAGAGGTGTCAACGTTGATAATGGAAGCGAAAGTTCTCCGAAAACACTTCTTTTTGGTTGAGGGCCTTCCAATGACACAAGAATATCGACCCACAGTTCACGTTCACGACCGAAATCCGCCGCAGTGTGGGGCGCCGACACAGTTGTGGTAGGATGACACGTGCGAGAACTCATCCATGCCCCCTCCCCTCCCGCTGGTACTTCCGCGCGCTCACACATGGTACTGCAGAAACGGAAAACATCTACGTCAATCAGACGGTGGCAAAGCGCATCCCGCCTCTGGCACTACGTCCTGGACCAGTCCTGGTGGAACGGTCCGTTATTTTTGAAGTAGCATTTGGCCAAAGTCGGCAGGTAGGCTTCGCGAGAAGAGGTTTAAGAGAACCGGTTCGAACTCAACGCTGCTGCTATTGCTGCTGCTGCTGTGTTCTTCCCGTTGCCGATAAGCCAATGGGCGCGGATGTGTTTTGTTACCGTCATCTTTGTTAATTGGTGTTTTCTGTGGCTTGTTTGGACTATTATGTTGTGCTATCTGGGCCCGGACCAAGCGCCGCGCTGCTCGAATGATGGTGAAAATTTCCTTCCCTGTTGTGTGTTTGACCTGCTCAGCTTCCTTTCCGTGTCTGCGTGAAATTTTGGATACTGTTACAAATTGAAATGTTGACTCTGCAGGTGTTGTCGCACAGTATGTATTCATTCGTTCGCGTTCTTTTTTTTCTTGCCTTCGGCCGGAGAGGCAAGAACGCCGGACTCAAAGTGCGAGGTTCCTGTGTGTCGGTTGCACTCAGCAACATGGACTGTTGGTGTGTGTGGACCTGGGCCTTGGGGGGGGGCATACCGCAGCAGACAGGCCGTTTTTTCCGTCGTGTCCCCACATGCAACACGGGAGCCCAGGGAAATCATTGGACCCGTGTCCCGCATTCCCCTTGCACCATGTTCGACTAGTCTGCAACTAGTGTCCTTGCCGTTCTGTGGTCGTGTCACAAGATCATTATCGGGTTGACCGACCCTATGATGCCCCACAGGGCACCAACAAAAACACAAGCATGACCCTTCGTGCGTCAATGCTGCTGCGAAACCGGCAGGGAAAAGCAAATCCCCACTGAAAACTTAGGAAGGACAGCGCGTCCCTCCGTCTCGGTGTCGCGTGAAGTGCATGATCAATTTTTCCATGGGGCCGCCCGAACTCGAAGAAGAATTGAGTTACTGGCACGCCGTTCCAACCACGAGTCCCCCGCTACAAGTAAGCCCAAGTCCGCGTGTGACATAATATCAACAATCGACACGCAGTTCGCAACAGACGCAGCAAGCCCGTTTTTGTTAGCTCAACGCATCTTCTTGGTTCTCTCTGTTGTGTGGCAACCCGTCAGTCTGCGTAGCCGAGATCGTTCACGCATATGCGAGACCGTGGAGTTTTCTCATCAAGCTGCGCCCGCAGCGTAATAGGCCGCGATCGCCGTTATTGGGCCCGATCGGTCGAAATGCGACCGTGGAATTATGACATGACTGACGCGGAACAAACTCGATGTACAGTGGGGGAGCAGCGCGAGCTCGGGAATTCTCGGCGCAATGTCATTAGCCTCGTGCTTTGCGCGAAGAGCACCATGTAGAGAAAACAGGCGTGGCAAAAAGAACACATGGGAAAGCGATGGGTGGGATGTCTGCATGACGACATGCCTTGCTCTTAAGAGCAAGAGAAGCGCGCGCATGCCCTCCTTCGATGCAATTTTGGCACTGAACGAGGCCTAAGAATATTAAGCAAAAAGTGGGCCTGACGAGAAATACAACAAAAAATTAAAACGTATTACATACGGCGTGGCACACGTAGTCGGAGTGGCCCCGTGGTAGGGATGGTGTGGCTGAAGTAAGAAACACCGACAAGGAACGATTAATGGCCCTCAACACATGCACAGAGAAATCAAAGTGATCTACCGTGCCAAGGCACGCGGGCATGATGTGAGCACTACATTGAACACAGCTGTGTATTCTTCTTGTGCGAGCCCCTCGTTCTTGTCGGCCGCCACACCCCACCTAACTCAACAAGCTCGTTGTACACGGCAACCATGTCCCTTGGATTGAGTGTAGGCGGGAGTGGGAAGGGTTGTGAATCTCCTGCCCCCTGGTAATGGTCTTCCCGATCCTCCTGTTCGACCTTCTGTTCTGATGTGTTCGTAGGGTTAAAACGCCCTGGCCGTAGTCCAGCACCTTTCTCTTTTCGCTTCTCTTCCAAGACACAGAAGGAAAATTCGGTGTGGCCACTCGAGCTGTCACCCACGCCAATGTGCGCATAAAAATTCCAATCTGAAAGTGCTTCAATTAATTCTTCGGCGAAGAACGAAACGTCGAGCCCGATGGGCAACTTAACATGTTCGCCAGCCAACATAATATCGTCGAAAAGCTCTACACAAAAAAGTCAACTGCTGCTAAGATCTCGCTCTGCAAGAGTACACGTCGACGCACAAGCTAGAACGCACGACTCAGTTTCGATTTCTCCCACAGAGGCCCTAAAATTCATGCGGCAGAGGGGGTCTTACCCCCCAAAAGTCACATGCTTACACACAGCCAAGTCACGCTTTCTACATAGTCTAGAAATTCCACAAAATCTTCTATTGTTCCCTATCTCCCCCCCGAGCCAAATCATCTACAAGCCACTTAGGACGTAAACCTTTGCCCGCAGAAAGCGCACGCCTCAGGTAAGAACATGCTTCTAAATGTCTTCAGAGGGGACACGGTATTGTCCAGCGTGTTAGGGGCGGCGGTGGGCATCTCATGTCCCGTGGTTAGTTTCCTCCCTCGGCCTCCTTCTTGGCCTTGGCGGCCATGTAGTCCGCGTAGCTCACTGCGGGCCTGATGGGGTCCTTGTACCTGTCGGAAGAAGACACGTCACGACGACAGAACAAGGCCAAAATGACACGCGCAAGAAAGACGAAAGGATCAGAAAAAAAAACGTCTCACAAGCTTTGCAGGCAGCCAGCAGCAACAGACTTACACGGCGGCATCTTGGCGTCAGAAAAAATAAAATCTCGATATTGATGCACGTGCAGGAGTTTTGCGAACTGTTTGCTGATTACCGTTTTTGTTAAGAGGAGCACACGCGCCCAACCGGGGTTGAGAAACAAGCGCAGGGGTGGATTTTACACTACATCCTGGACGATAAGGTAGTCTACACTCAACGATGGCCACGAACGCAATAAACTCAGCCTCATCACGCATCGGCGTTTCTTCGTAGCGAACCCCGCAATACTAATGTGGTAAGTAGTTGTGTGTGTCACTTGGTGCTCACATGGTCTCTCCCGGGTAGTAGCCGGACGAGTCGCACTTGTTGCCGGCGGCGTCCTGTTCGCGGATTACACAAAACACAGCATGCGTCAACGCGCGGGGAAGGGAACCCGGGCGTGGGGTGAGGGTAGTTCCAGAAGACAAGCTGAGGAAGGGGGGACTTGATCCTTGTCGTCATAGACATGAAGTTCAGCTGGTTCTCTCATTGGTTTACATATTCAAATGGCAGCAGTAAAACAACCGACAGTAAGCAGCATCGCCATCATGTGTGCAACTGACTGCTGCCATGAGGGGGGGAAGGTAGGGCGCAAACCGGAATTGCTGAGAGGTCGGTGCACGATCTACTACAACTCTGGGGAAGACTTCACACAGATTCAGCTCTTCCGTATGCATGCACTCGTAAGCAAAGAAGGTCTAGCGCTGGACGCGTCTTCCAGCGGGCTCTGGTGCGCATTGTTGAGCAGCAGTACAGCTGTCCCATGCCAAGGGAAGTCAAACGAGAACACGAGACTAGCAACGTCGAATAGGCGGGTGGGCGGAACCAGCACCAAGTTCCACTGAGGCAATTGTCATCACCGCTATGAATATGCTCAGTGCATCAGGCTCGAACGGAGTATTGCATTGCCTCAAAACTCGATGGATTTGGCAGATTTCTTGGGACTTTGCTCGGCAAAACTGACATGTGCCACGTGTTACTGGGTGGAGGAGCGTACAATACTTTGACGGCAGCGGGCAAATCTTCAGCATGTGTCGACAGTTGACCGGCGGAGGACCAGAGTACAACATACTGGTACTATTTAGTCTCGACGGGGAGATCGGAACATCGTCAAGATCACATCAAATCAATACTCGTATCTACCAGTCATAGTCTACACGTACGTGTGCGTACATGCTACTACTGCTGTTGTAGTCTACTCCGTGTGCAGCCAGGTTTAGGATAGTTTAATTTGGTTTACTGCCATTGTTGGTGTCATGATCCATAGCAGAAGGGGCTGGTAGTAGGGGAGAAAAAAATAGGGGAGAGACAACTGATACCTCAGCAACAAGCGGTTGCGAGTTGAACAAGAAAACACCGGTGCCTTTTGTGAGCGTCTCCTCAAATGGCGACGCATTTTCCTCGCCGGACGCGGTGGAGTAGACTAATACTCATGTGAAAAATCCATCACCACACACGCACGTGCATTCTGTGCTAATGGCTCTCTGCGTATGCGGTTGCCCTGGGCGCATGAATGCCGAGCGAACGGCATACGACCTCAGGGACCCTCGAACGATATGAGCACGCGACGCTACGTCCACTAATAGACTACAGTATATTGCATCATCTTCGATTTACCGAGAGAATGCTTTGTGTTTGTGCATCTCGAGGAAATTCCATGCGCGGGTTGAAGTAAAAAACGTGTCGTCACTAGCATTTCAGAATCAGACGTTTTCTTCTTCCTTCCCCATACACGACGCAGTTATGGTCAAGCAGGGCATCTCAGGGTGCATGCCACTCGGCCCAAGAACACCAAGGCCATCAACCTCTCTTGCATGCCGTACTGCGGTAGGAAGACATAAGGTGGTGCCTGAGCGGGTTCAACCGCAAGATTCTTCGTGTGCATGCGCCTACCACCCGCCACGTACGTCAAATTTCTCAATCCACAACAGAATCATATTATTATTGTGCAGCAGGCGCGGGCGCGAATCAGGCAGGGTGTACAGCCGGTGCAATCGATAGCAGCAGCCGCGGCGAATGGGACAGCAGAGACAACCGCCGCTGCTACACAGGCGCCACGCGTACGACTCCCGTGGGTGACGGCAATGTATAGCAACAAGATCTCTCTCAGCAGATGGATACGCCGCCCGCCGAGCACAGCAGCTGCTCCTGCTGCAGCAGGGTTGATTTGATTCTTGCTCACCTTCACGTAGGGGTCGAAGTTGTTGTCGCTCCAGGGCTCGTTGGGGTTGTACATCGACTTGACGTCGTCCTTCGCGGCGTCGTCCCACAGCTTGCCGTCGTACTTGCCCTGTCCGAACACGACGGTCGCGGAAGTCCTGGTCGGCTGCTGCGTGAGCCCGCGGCCGGCGGCGCCGGGCACCACGAACGCCGAAGCGGCGGAGGCGAGGGCGAGCACGCCGACGATGGCCTTGACGGGCTTAGAGTGGTCGTGACCCATGTTGTCTGGTGGTGTGGATGTGTCTGTGGGGTTAGGGGAATGGAAGTGTTGGTGCAGGAGTGGAATGTGCTGTCTGGGTGTGCGACCGAAGAAAGCAGCTGCTCGACAGACATGAACATCGCAAAAGAGGCCTCGTTTTTCAGCCGGGATCGGGGAACTTTGGGATAAATCGCGCGCGCATTCAACGGCCTCGATTTTTTTTCGCGAATTGGCGCGATCGATCTTGAGCGTTGAACGCAGAGGAAGGTGAGGCTGCACGCGTCACCCGAAAGAGGAACAGAGAGTGAGAGGGAGACCGATACATGCACATGTCACCATGCACGCGCGGCAACGGCAAAAAAAGCGCTTCTGTTACACCGAAACGCAACTTTTTTCATGTAGAAAAAACGGTGTAAAACGAAACGATGGTACCTTCACTGCATCGACTCCTGCCTTTTGTTACAATGTTCGCTGGCTGGAGCCCACGAGCATAGGGCAGTTTCCACTCGCTCGTTCGTTTCTACGGTAGTCATGCACTGCCGGTTTTCCTGTCAACGTCAAGTGCATCATCCATTCAACATCAGACAGAAAACTTGCAGTTTGTAGTCTGAAGAATGCAGAGTTCAGATCGACAGATCGGTTGAAGAAGGCGGTGTTCGGGGCCCACGCCCGCAGGGGTTGTACGTTCTTCTTCCGTGATTCTTTCGCCTACACTTTTCGTAAGGGCCCGATCATCTCGTTTTTTACATTTCAATGGTATGTCTATCCCAGCATGCCGCAAGCTCCCTCCACAGCGGAGCAAACCGGGGGCTGCTGAAGTTTGTAAACTCTGTTGTTATGGACACAGCGTCGGGGTGGATATTGTAAAAATCGTTTTTTCTTCGCCACAGCGCGACTAAACAACGACCGATGCAAATGCGCGAGGATGAACATGCGTGTATCGGAGCGGCCATTCCTCCCTAACAGTGCTCACACTCCGGGGCGCGCCATCGCCTTCCCACTGTGACGGTTTTCTGGTAGCATACGAACCACCAGCGGCATGAATAAGTCACCGAACGGGCTACAGGTCGCTTCCGCTGCAAAATGCTGGACGTAACGTCTCAAGATAAAAAAAAAAAGGTTATCGAGTGCATTTAGTACTTAGACTACATTTTACTTTTACATTTTACATCCCCCGCGTTGATGTGAGACGCCGAGCACGAAAAAAACGTATATCTTCCTTAAGTTGCCAACCGCGATTGAAAAGACACAGCTCTTCTTCAACGATACAAAAAACAGAACTATGCCGCAGCGCGCAACCACACCTGGTTGGCGGCACGGCAAACCTGAGCATCCAACTTCCTCCATCTCAACCACGACACAATACCACACAAGCACGTAATAACGCATTCCCCCCATAATAATTGGTCGGACGAGCAAAGGTTGTTGTTGCAGGGTACGCCAGAACACAGGACTCTATTTTTTTGTACAGGAGCACGACGTGCTGCTGAAGGAAACGTCTGGAAGACGAAAACCGAAGCGACCAACAGCGGCTACCCAGTCACGAATCATTCAGGGAATCTGGGGGAAAGCTGCTGTTCCGTCATCGGAGTCCATTTCGATCAAGTCAACGTCCCTGGCCGTAATTGACGGTCGTATAGCAACGTCTTAGCATGCGACCGGCCGACCGACATCCCCTTCAAATCCAACGCAATTGCGTTATCCTCAACCGTTCGAGGGTACCCCATATCAAGCACTGCAGTTGTAGTCCACCTCGCCCAATGACACCGACACTTGATGCGAGCCTTCGCTCGCGGACAAGTCCATGCGGTACTCGACCGTCTGCGGCTCGGGAGCCGCGTGCCCCGGCGCGGCCACGAAAAAAAGCGAAAGAACCGCTCTGATGTACTCACCGCCGCCGCTGCCAACAACAACACTATTGCTACCGCCGCCGTTGCCAACGCCAGCACCGCCCTCTACGTGACTTCCTTCGCGTTCCAGTGGGCGTTTCTCCTCTTCTTCTCCGCCACGGCCGATGGTGCCGTCGCTACTCCCGCCGCCGGCCTCGATTTTCTCCTTCGATCTCACCATCCCCGTGCCCAAGGAAAGTCGCCGGCATTTCGTAGTCTTGGCCACACGAAACGTGGGGCTGCCGAAACCGAGACAACATGGCGGGGGGGGGGGGGGGGGGGG